AAAAAAAAAAAAAAAAACCCATCTTGAAGAAGACTCCTTATGAATTGTGGAAAGTTAAACGACTCAATATAAGTTATTTTATTCGTTTGGAAGCAAGTGCTTCATTCACAATAATGGTAAGGACAATCTTGGAAAATTCGATCCAAGAAGTGACAAAGGTATTTTTCTGGGTTATTTATTAAATAGTAGATCCTTTAGAGTCTATAATAAACGCACACTGTGTGTAGAAGAATCAGTACATGTTATCTTTGATGAAAATAACACTTCGGCCGAGAAAGGAATTATTGCAGGCGATGAAGATCAAATTCAAAAAAATTCAAGAGACAAGCAAATCTCAAGAGTCGACTAATAAACCTGATGGTGTAATGGAGTCAACTAATGAGATTAGCAACAGTCAATCAGAATCTCCGAAGGAGTCAACTACTCATACAAGTACAATTCGTCCAAATGAATGGAGAGGTGAACCAGAATATCCTCAAAAGTTTATCATACGAGACCCAAGCGAAGGAATGAAAACTAGGGGAGCTCTCAAGAAGAAAGCAAACATAGCACTGATTTCCCAGATTGAACCAAAGAAAATAGAGGAAGCTCTGAAAGACTCAAGCTGGTTACAAGCAATGCAGGAAGAGCTTGATCAATTTGACAAAAATCAAGTGTGGAAACTGCTGCATAAGCCTGAAAATGCTCATGTAATTGGAACAAAATGGATTTTCAGAAATAAGCTAAATGAGGATGGAAAGGTTGTGAGAAACAAAGCCAGATTAGTAGCTCAAGGATACTCACAACAGGAAGGAGTCGACTACGACGAAGATACTCACAACAGGAAGGAGTCGACTACGACTAAACCTTTGCTCCAATAGCTCGACTAGAATCAATATGAATTCTTCTTGCATACGCATCTTTAAAAGATTTAGGCTAGTGCTTTGGATAACGTGCGGCAACAAATAGCGACGAGGGTCCGCTTCACTGAGGCGAGAGACGCGCAGCGAAGCGCTCGCCTTTTTGATGTGAAGCGACAATTTATACAAAAACATAAAATATTATATACATATAATTAAAAACTCAATAACAATAATATATTAATAAATATCATTCAAAAATTAAAGACTCAATAGATAGTCATAGACTCATAGTTGATAGTAGATTCATAAACTAAAGTCTAATAGTCTAAAACAAGCAACAAATAAATAAAGCTACTGTCTGAAAAAACAGAGCAACAAATAAATAAAGCTACTGCCTCTGCTCGATTTTGAAAAACAGAGAAACAAAAAAAAATGAAGCTACTGCCTGACTGCCTCTGCTCGATTTTGAAAAATAGATCAACAAAAAAAAATACAGCTACTGCCTCTGCTCGATTTTGAAAAACAGGGCAACAAATTAAAAAATAAGAGCTGAAAGAGATGATGGAAGAAACAGAGCAAAGAACCCAAAAACAGAGCAAAGAAAGAAAGAAAGAAAGAAAAACAGAGCAAAGAAAGAAGAAAAAAAACAGAGTTGAAAGAGATGATGGAAGAAAGAAAAACAGAGTTGGGCTGAAAGAGAAGAAAAACAGAGCTGAAAGAAGAAGAAAAACAGCGATCACTGAAGAGAGAAGAAGAAAAAGAAAAAAGAAGACCAGCAATGGTGAGCAATGGTGGTCGACCAGAAGAAGAAGAAAGTAGAAGAAGAAAGGAGAAGAAGAAGAAAAGAAAAGAAAGAAATATACTTGGTGAAGAAGGGGTCGCTGATGGCTGACGATGGAAGAAGAAGAAGAAATGTGAACCCAAGCCCTAATTTTGTCGCTGAAGGAGAACTGGAGAAGAAGGGTCGCTGCTCGTAAGAATCGCTGCTCGTAAGAAGTGATTTCACCCAAGCCCTAATCGCGACTTAAGTGCCTTTTTCTTTTCTTTTTTTTTTAAAATAGCTATGCTACGCTCGCTTCTCGCCATACTGTCGCCTCTCGCTACACAAGCAGAGGCAACCGCTATTTTGAATCGCAACGCAACAGGCCCTCTGTAGCGACATACGCTCGCCTCGCGTCGCTACACGCTTTTAGCGCTGTAGCGAGCGCTATTTATAACACTTATTTAGGCTCTTCCAGATAGATGTCAAAAGTGCCTTTTTAAATGGTTTCATTGAGGAGGAGGTATATGTAAAACAACCCCCTGGATTTGAAGATTCAAAGTTTCCTTACCATGTGTACAAATTGACCAAAGCATTGTATGGACTTAAACAAGCTCCACGAGCATGGTACGAAAGACACAGCTCATTTCTTATTGATCACGGATTTACAAGAGGTAAAGTAGACACTACCCTTTTTATTAAAAGATCATCGGAAGGTAATCTCATTATTCAAGTTTACGTTGATGATATTATTTTTGGTAGTGCTAATCCTCTTCTGTGTAAGGAATTTCAAATCTTATGCAAAGTGAGTTTGAAATGAGTATGATGGGAGAGCTAACGTTCTTTCTTG